AGGCAGGTACCCCAGGTTCAGGAGGAGGTGAGAGACATATGAGCAGAGATGAACTTGTCATTCCAGTAAGGAGTCTGCTGAGCACCGTATTAACATCAAGTGACCAGGAGTGAGATGTTCAGACTCTTTCTGTGGTTCTCACACAGCTTTGCTTTAATGTTGAAAAACAATTTCCCTTTCTACATGATGGCCCCCTATGTGGCACTGTCCTTCTGACTGGCAGGGTCCTCAGCACCATCTCCAGGATTTGGGGGGCAACTTTTATCTTCTACCCCTCTCCCCCCCCAAAACCTAGGATAAGTCTCATGGCAGCTCACATGAGGGGAATCTTTTCAAAGTTTCCTCTGTACCTTATGGTCACCAAAGGTATCCTCAGAGATCGCCAGAGCATGTATACTTACCATCTCAGGAGCCTGGACCAAATGTAAAGAGGCTACTGCAATGAAATGCAAACAATTGCTTGGGAATTCATTACTAGTCCTCAAATCAGGCAAGTTGAACAAAGATTCCTTGTTTATTTATTGTCTTTCCAGGGCCAACACCTACAGCTGCAGCTGTTCCTACTGCTGCTGCTGTTGCTAAGGTCCCAAGGTTGCAGCCGAAGAACAGAGCTCAGTGAATTGCTAGGCTGAGGAGGAGAAAGAAGAACAAAGAGGAGATACTTACAGACCAGCTTGAATGTTGGAGAGGAGAGCCGTGGCTACAGAGAACTAGCATCCTGGATGAAGTTCCGTTAAGACTGCTGTACTGGTCTAGTCAGGAGGGGGCTATCTCAGACCCAGCCTCCAGGTATTTTCCAGGCATGCCAGAACACCAAGGTTACCATGAAAGCAGACTATGGAGATGTTGTTGGAGAACCTCTGCATGTGGAGGGACACACATGAAACTCTTATAGCCACCCTCAGCCAGCAGACAGAAAGTATCCTGTCAGTGTCCTATTCTGCTCCTCAAACCCTGGACTCCCCATCACTCTCAGGCCCAAGCAACACCCCCCCACCCCACACACACACAGTGACACCTGTATACCCCCCAAGCATAACCCTACCATCCAGGCCTAGGATCAAGCTTCCCACCAAGCTCTTGTCCTTGCCACCCCAGGCCAGGATTAGAGCAGGGCAGGGACTAGAACCCCTCCTCAAGCACACAACTTCATGCCCTGCACTGTCCTCCTCTTCTCAATCAAGCCACCCATGTCTTTCAGTCCCAGGTTTTTCCATGTCTTGCCTACACTTTGCTCCTGCTGTACCACTCATGTTGTGAGCAACTAAAGACCCTGTATGTAGTCTCTTCTCCACTATGGATGGGACCTCTAGGATAGTGTTCTTCCAGAAAGACTCAAGAATATAGGGGTACAAGCACTTCACTGGGCCTCACAAGGTCTCTCCCAGTACTCATCTGCGAAGTGCCACAGTGTGGGACTCTTGCCCCTTCAATCTCTCTGCATAATGTGGCAGCATGTTGCCCTGTTGTTCAAAGCCCACAAGGATCCTTCCTCATTCCTGGGGATGCAGCAAGCCTGGACGATCCAGATGGACAACTATAGCTCATTCCTTCTGTGGGCTGTATAGTCAAAGGAATTATGGCAAAATAATTTTCTGGCTGGCACAGCTCACCCCCTGGATGGACAATTCAGCTTTGGATTTACCAACACTGAAGTGCTTGGCAACAAACCTAAGGTTATCGGGGGTGGCCAACTTTCAAATAGCAATTGCCACTCACTTCTCCACACTCACAGATGACCTCATGTCCATGGCTGGCTTCCAGAATGATATGACCAACTCAGTGGGACTACTCATAGGGACTACGATGTCATAGGGATAACAGAGACCTGGTGGGACTCCTCGTATGACTGGACTACAGGTATAAATGGCTATATCCTGTACTGGAGAGATCGTGCTGAAAAAACCAGCGGGAGTGTAGCTCTCTATGTGAAGGGGAGCTACATGTCCCTACAAACTGAGATTGGCACCCACGGAGGATGACTGGAGACCCTCTGGGTTAGAATACAAGGGGAATGTGGTGAAGGGGATACAATGGTAGGAGTCTACTGCAGATCTCCAAATCAGTGGAACAAGTGCTTGACCATGAATTCGCTAGGGAACTGGCCGAGGCTGCACACCTTTGGTGCATGATTGTCATGGGAGACTTCAACTACCTGGACATCTCATGGGAAGAGCATTCAGCCAAATCCAATTGGTCCCAAAGCTTTCTCACATGTGTGGATGAGCTCTACCTGTCTCAAGATGTTTGTGGGCCTGTTATGTTTGTATTGATTTTTACTATTTTATATTGTATTATATTGTATTCCTATCATTTTTGCATTGATTTTTATTGTTTCATATTAATATTGCATGGTTTAGGCCTGTGTCTGTAATGTCAAGTTTCCAGTTTGTAATGTCAAGCCTCCATCTTGTGTCCCCTGCCCTATACAATATGTTGCAACTGTGACTCATATCTACCCCTCCTATGTAAATTAGTTCCTGAATGAATGGTAATGAATGAGGGTGCTTGAGGCATAATGGTAGCAAGCCTCTACTGAATGACTAGTAACCACTGGATCATCAACTCAATGACCCAACCATTGCCTTGCATTGACTCACCCAGGAACTACAGACCTCACCCAGGAACAGAGACAAAACCCAGCATTTGAAAGATAAAGAACCTACAGGAACCCCAAATTTGGAAGGCAAAGACCCTACAGAAAACAGAAACCCCACCATTGTGCCCCACCAGACAATGAGGCCACCTGGATCTGCACATATGCATCTGAGAAGGACTGGCCCTTGCCTGGGCACGTCCTTCCCATAGGAGACACAGGTAGCCCACTCCTATAAAAGGGGTGGTAAAGTATAACCTCCTTGGGACACCCTCTCCATCTGAACCAACACCACCTGTCCACCCAGAGGCCCTGCTGGTGACCCCCTCTGGACAACACCCTGACTGGCCCTCGAGGATCAACTCACAGCCCAGGAAAGGTAGCTATCACCCACCTTCCTTCCCCAAGCAAAGAGACCTGGACTCTGTCCCTACACACCTTGACTTCAAACCCTCCACCAAGCCTTTTTCTCTCCTGCTACCATTTTTTGTGTGTGTGTGTGTGTGTGTGTGTGTGTGTGTGTGTAGGAACCAATAACTTTGTGGGGCTGTGTAGTGTGTTGTCTGCTTATTAAGCCTGTTATTTTGAAAACCTGAGTTGGGTTTTTGTCTTACTGACCTCCCAACCCTCCTCCTTGATGTCCCAGCTTTCTCCCTTGGTTCTTTCTGCCTCATTTCCATCCCTGATCTCTCAGTTTTCTGCCCCTCCTTTCAACTCCTGTCTCCCAGCTTTTTTCCTCTCTGTTTCCTGGCTGTCTCCTCCTTGCCACCAGGCTTTTTCCCTCGCTTCCACCCCGGCGCCAGGTGACCCCGAGTAATCCTGGGGCACATTAACCCTAAGTAACCCCAAGTAACCCCAAAAGCACCTTGACCTCAAGTAATCCCGAGCATTAAGTTACCCCAAACGCCCCCTAGTGTTAGCACAGCCATCAAGGGGCGCGTTTGTGTACGTGCATATAATTTTGTATGAACCCATAAAGTGTGTGTGTGTGTGTATAATTTTGTATCATGCCCTCCTGTCTAACAGTGTAATATTGAGATCCCAAGTGTTGATCTGGTGTGTGTCAAGTCAATAGGTGCTGCTGGACCTGGTACTGGCCAAAGGGAATGATCTAATCAGTGACCTAAGAATTGAAGGGAAGCTGGGTGACAGTGACCACGAGTTGATTGTTTCACTGCCCATTGCAAAGTTGACAAGTCAGCCAGCAATGCAGTAGTCCTCAACTTCAAGAAAGTTGACTTTCATAAGCTCAGGAGGCTTGTTCTTGAGGGCCTAAGAGGCCATGATTTGACAGGGAGGGGAGTTCATGACGAGTGGTTGCTTCTTAAGGAAGCAATTTTCTAAGCTCAAGAGAAGTCCATCCCAACCCATAAGAAAGGCGGTAAAAGGGCTCAGCAACCTGCTTGGCTCAACAGGGAAATCATGGACCTCCTACGTCTAAAAAGAGAGGTGCATAAAGGATGGAAGACAGAAAACACCACTAAGGAGAAGTATACTGCACTGGTCCGTAACTGTAGGGAGCGAACTAAGAAAGCCAAGGCTGCAACCAAATTCAAACTGGCTACATGAATCAAGGACAATAAAAGGTTCTTTTTCAGATACGTGGGGAGTCAGAAGAAAAACAAGGGCAACATTGGACCCCTGCTAAACCAATTGGGGTAGCTGACAACCAACACCCAGGAAAAGGCCAATCTGCTTAATGATTACTTTGCATCAGTTTTTGACCAGCCCAAAGGGACCTCCCTGCCTAACATGATGTGGGATGACCAGGGTGAGGGTGAATATATGCCCACCATTGGCGTAAGTCTTGTGAGGGAACACCTTGAGAAGCTGGACACCCACAAATTGGAAGAGGGCCAATGTGGTGCCTGTCTTCAAGAAAGGGAGGAGAGAAGATCCAGGAAACTACAGGCCAATCAGTTTGACCTTAATCCCTAGAAAGATCTTGGAAAAAATTATCAAAGAAACCATTCTTGACAGGCTAACAGAAGGAAACATTCTGAGGACTAGCCAGCATGAGTTTGTCACGGGTAGGTCTTGCCTGACCAATCTCATTTCCTTTAATGGCCAGGTGACGTATCACCTGGACAAAAGGGAAGAGGTTAATGTCATATATTTGGACTTTAAAAAAGCCTTTGACCTGGTGTCCCACGATGTCCTCATGGAAAAATTCAGAAACTGCAGCCTTGACTACACTACAGTCTGCTGGCTGGGGACTGTCTCTGAAGTTGGACCCAGAGAGAGGCAGCTGACAGAACTGAATCAACGTGGCACTCAGTGACTAGTGGTGTCCCCCAAGGCTCTGTTCTCAGACCTGTACTCTTTTATGTCTTTATAAATGATCTGGACTATGGTGTCAGAAGCACACTGGCCAAGTTCGCTGATGCCACCAAACTTTGGGGAAGAGTATCCACACCTGAGGATAGTCTGGTGATCCAGGCTGACTTTGATAGGCTTGCAAGGTGGGCAGATGAAAACCTGATGGCATTCAATACAGAGAAATGCAAGGTGCTCCACCTCAGGAAAAAAGCCCCACATCACACTTATAGGCTCGGCAATGCTACACTCGCTAGTACCATGACCGAGAGAGACTTGGGGGCCACGACAGACCACAAGATAAACATGAGCCACTAATGCAATACCACAGCTGGCAAAGCAAACAAAACTCTCTTGCATCTACTGATGCATCTCGAGCAAGACACAGGATGTCATTCTCCTGCTGTACTTAGCCTTGGTGAGGCTGCAGCTGGAGTACTGCATCCAATTCTGGGCTCCACAATTTAGGAAGGATGTGGAGAAGCTTGAAAAACTCTAGAGGGAGCCACACGTATGATCAGAGGGCAAAAGCACAGGCCTTATGAAAAGAGGCTGCCAGCCATGGGACTTTTCAACTTCGAGAAGTGCAGGCCCAGGGGTGACTTGGTGGCATCCTATAAATACATCAGGGGTGTGCATCAGGATCTGGGGGAATGCCTATTTACCAGAGCACCCCAAGGGATGACATGGTCCAATGGTCACAAACTCTTGCAAGACCATTTTAGGCTGGACATAAGGAAAAGCTTCTTTACTGTTAAAGCCCCCACGGCCTGCAATAGGCACCCCGCCCCCCCACCCCCACTCCCAGCGGTGGTGCAAGCACCTACTCTGGACACTTTTAAGAAACTTTTGG